CAAAAATCAACATCAATCACTGGTCAGAAATGGTAGATACATTTAAAAAATAACCTTAAATTTAATAATCAATAATCAGCCGAAGTACCTTCACTGGATGGTTTCTTCCCTCAAGACACTCGAGCTATTGCACTTAATTTAATTTAATAAACATACATTATGTTTATTGTATTTTTTTTAGTATGGATTGTATAATTTCTAGATTAAAAAAATAATCAATAATCAGCCTTTAATCCAACCTTTTTTCATTTTACTTATATGTACCTATCATGTTTTTAATAAATATTTTTAAAATTAATAATGAGTCAATATTTAATATTTAATAAATTACATTTTTTATTGTATAAAAGTATAAAATACATTTTTAAATGTTGATAAAATTTGTCAGCACATAAAATTTTCATTAATATATTTAAATGATACAGCTGAAATATTTTTGTGAAATTTGAAACAAATGATAAATTGGTCAAGGGATATATTAAAAAAAGGAATTTTTAGACAAATTTTAATGTTAGGGTTCTGATACGCTGAGTGGTGTCGCCGCCGTTGGGTTCTCGCTTTCCGGTTGCCTTCGCATCAAGCCTTCGTTCTGTTGTAGGTGGTTGGAGGACGATGTTGGCCCTCTCTGGTCTCTGGTGTTGACCCGTCGATATTATAGATATGCTATATTATATATAACATGTATGTAGTATGATTATCAACAGTAGTGGACTGGCCCGGTGTGCCACTATTCTAAAGCACAGTGGGCCGGTACCAGATTGTAAGTGTTGGGCCGCTACTATGACCAGCAAATATATCTATAATTTTTGTATTTGTATTTGTAATTTTTTTTATTATTTTATAATAATATATTTTACGATTGGGCGGCTCTTGCCCATCACAAACAACACAATATAGACAAGAGTACACTACCATATAAAAGATACCAAAAACATAATAATATTTAGATATAAATTATAATTTTATAATATGGACAGTTAAAATATTTTTTTTCTGAAACGTAAAACGTTATTGTCCTGTCAGGGATTTTATGCCGTGTGGCGTGTATAGCAAAGCATTTATAAAGTAGGTATAAATAAATTCAGATCGAATTAAAAGACTATGGCCAATTTGACTATTTTATTCCAGTCAAATTAGACGAATAATTAGGCTTTAGCTCGGAAAAATTAGCACCAAGCCAAATTTCGGTTTATATATTATATTTATTTTGTAAGGTGATTGAAATTCGTATACCGCATGGTAGAACTTCCAGAAAATAACAAAATTATAGTGAATACAATATTATGAGTAATGAGTAGGTACTGTTCGTTAGCCAACGTGGTTGTTTTTAATTTTAGTAGAACTGCTTCTATTTTCTTTAACAGTATCTTGTTCGATGGGAAAGTGAATTTAGTTAGTGCATTCGAGAGGTCAAAAATTAAAATTCCCAATAGTTTTCAGAAGCGCGAGGAAAAACAAAAGTAAAATTAAGAAAAAACGGGAATTTTTACGCTAAAAAGGTTTTTGACAAATCGACTTTAGTTTTTGGTATAATTCTAAAACAAATTAACGTAAATAGGTACATCAAATTTTTAAAGAATGTTTATATCAGAATTTTCTATACACCATAACATTTTCAAGTTTTATTTTGTGCTGTTTACGGACATTTTCAGTTTCGATTTTTTTAGTATTTTTTTTTCTATAAATATCAATAAAATTTTATTTGTTGGGTAAAAACTATTGAAAATTTAATAAAAGGCTCCTGATATATTTTTTCAAAGGAAGATGAAAAATGGTCGTCACAATTTTTTTTTTTTTAAGCATTTAAAGTTCAAATATTGAAAAAATACGTAAAAATGACGAAAATTCACAAATTATTTTAGTAAATTTTATAAAAATTTTTATTTTTTAAACTCAGATTTGAAAATGTTATACAAGATTCAACATAATTTTGTCTACTTTTGTCAAAAAAAAATTTCTACCAGAAAGTCAAATAAAATTTGTATGAGCGATTGAAGTTCAAATATTTTCAACATTGGATATTAACTCGATTTCTCATGTACCTATCAATTTCTTTATTTTGTTGTAATTGAAAAATGAATAACTGTAAATTCATGAAAACTTCACTGAATATTTGTATTCTCATTTTGTATACACCTTAACAATTTTAATAATATTTTGACTCATTTTGAGCTGTTTACGGACAATTTAAAATTTCAATTTGTTTAGTTTTTTTTTTTATAAATATCAATCAAATTTTATTTTGTGGGCTAATCAGTGTGAAAATTTAATACAAGGCTCCTGATATATTGTTATTATACACGCAATGATATTTTCAAATGTAATTTTTTCTGGAACAATGAATTTAATACCTACTATAGTAAATACTATAATTCCTAATAATGAAATTAATTAGGTTAGGTACCTAAGTACTTTATTCACAGTAGTATCATCAAATACTTTATATTAACCGTTTTCTCCGTATACAATGATATTATATCATTAAATTCAAATTTAATACCATCCATTACAGTGACCTACTTGTAACCTACTGTACAGCAGAGTGACATCCACTTGCTCCCCTTTTTAATATTGGTGGTATAAATATTATACTGTACTTACAACAATCTATATAAATTATTTAAAATAATTATTTAAATGATTAAAACAAATTAAGTTACCTACCTAATTAATTTGTCAGGTGTTTCTGTTATACGTCGTGTATAAGTTCATAGATCATCAGCACAATTAGAGTAAAAAAAATTGGCCTAATACACCTAAGGCCGCTAATAAACTTGGAACAGTGGGCCGGACCCGTCCCAGTCCGCCCCTGCCACTATCGGTAAGTGTAAAGACATTTAGGCAGGATAATATATCACCTATGCGGCCGTGTATGAATATATAATACAACTGAACAGCAAAAATATAATATATTATTGTCCCTCCATTTCCAGAACACAACCACTATCGTTTTTTTATTGTACGAATCAAATGTTAAATATCGTCCCAGTGGTCGCCTCTATGTTCATCCCAGTTATTAACTACCTCTTAACTTGAGCCTAGATATGATATCAACCAATTTTTGGTGCAAATAATATTAATCTTGACTCGTAGAGAGAGCAGATGGTACATTCACAAGTATTCATTTAAATAGTATAAAACCGCATGACTTAAGAAGGCTTACAATATAATGGTATGAAATGTATAATACCTTTTTTAATATTAGGGCATGGATTTAAAAGTAAATTTCATTTTTTTTTTATAGCGCTAAAACAATGCTTTCTAAGCAAACTATTTTTTCTTTTTTTTTTCTGTCATCCCCATTTATTAGGACAGTTAAAATGCTTAGATATTCTTCAACAATATAATTTCTGATAGGGAAATGAGTCTAAATTAACATACTTGTTATATATAATACGTATAATAACGTATAGTTATGTATATTATAACCGTCTTCGCTTAGATAATTTTTCGTGTACAATGCCATTAGGTATATCGAATTAAAATTTATCTCCATCCATTACAATGGCTCACTTATTGCTAAGTGTACAGCAAACTTGCCCACTTTTTCAGGTTTAAAGTCTGAGCTATAATTGTACATAAAGCCGGAAATAGGTGCATATTATGAAATATTATGCGTATACTTTAATTGTCCAATGACCAATATAACACATGCTTTAATGATAAGAAAACATTTATAATTTAATATTTATTTTCCAAGCACCTACCTAATTTAACTTCCTCTAATTTTAGACTCTGATCGCTCCCAGTAATGTATTGATTTTACAATGATATTTATTTTTTTTATTCATTGATATTTATTTGTTTTGGGTCTGTTATCGGCCTATAGTTTTCAAAAATGCAGAATAAAAAAAAGATGGGCAAGTGGGTGTTGCTATGCTGTACTGTAGATTACAAGTGGGACACTGTAATGTATGCTGTTAAATATAAATTTAATGATATAATATCATTGTATACGAAAAACGGTTCTGAACATAGGCGGTTCGACAGCCTAGGATATTTTATATAATATTTATATTGTTATTATTAAGACTGTAGTTTGAAAGTCGAACTAATATTATTTGCATATTATCATACTTCAATATTTGTATAATATAATAATATAAATGAGAAATACAAGAACCCACGAATAATATTTTTAAATTACTACAAAATAACTAAGTTCATTATTCTTGGTTACTTAATATGTAATTTCGTCTAATTTTAAACAAAAATTAACTATAAAAAAAAACTGTTTTTAAATTTTTTATAATTTTTAGTTACAGAATAACTTACTTACGTATAAGTTTTATATTTTCAATAATTAATAAAAACTAAACATTTTATACATTTTTAACTATAAAATTATAATTTAATTTTCCATTTGATAAATGTTGTCAAAAATTGAACTTTAAATGCTTATTAAAAAAAATGTTAAGGATTTATTTTTATTATTTTTCAACTATCTTTGTAACAATATATTAGGAGTCTTATAATACTGTTTCAAGACCCAATGAATAACATTTTATTGACATTTATACAAAAATATAAAAATTAAAAATTGAAAATGTTCGGAAACAACTCAAAACAAGTCAATATATTTTGAAAATTTCTTCAAGTATAGGAATTGATTAAAAGAAAACCACATGGTGTAAATTTAAATTATCTACAGTTATTCGTTTGTGAATTACAGCAAAATAAGAAAATCGCTACATGAGAAATTGAGTGAATATCTGATGTTGTACAAATTTGAATATAAAATGTAATCATTTTTAATTTGCATCTTTTTGTTTTTTATGAATTTTCTGTCAATTTTCCAAAATATGTTAATGGATATTTTGAATAGTATAGTAAATCAAATTAATATCAAATGTATATCAAAAATTAAAAAGCATTAAAAATTATTTATTTTGCTTTGGCATATATTTCTTTGGTAGGTAGGTACTATAAGGTCTGTAGGTATATTTACGGCAGTGGGTGGGCTATTATGATTTGTATAAAGTGGCAATCTTGAATTCCTTATGTTTCTCCATAAAAATGGATGTATGTGGAATGAGTCAACATGCCGAATAGCGGCAATACATAAAGATTTGGAATGTCTAAGATACGCTAGGCAGGAGGGCTATCTATGGGACTCAGAGGTTTGCGAGGAAGCGGCGGCAAGAGACCACCTCGAGTGTCTCATCTTTGCCCATGAAAATGGGTGTGTTTTGACCGAACGGACCGGTGTTTTGGCAGCGAGAAACGGCCACCTCCACATACTTCAGTATTTATTTAGCCATGGCTGCCCCTGGAACGAGGGTACGTGCTCCGACGTGGCAGAAAGAGGTCATCTTGACTGTTTAGTGTACCTTCACGAAAAAGGGTGTCCGTGGGAAAGTTTGACGTGCATACTGGCCGCAGCCAACGGCCACCTAGAATGTCTTATCTACGCTCACGAAAATGGCTGTAATTGGGATCATTTGACATGCAAGGCAGCAGCTGTAAGAGGCAACCTAAACTGTCTAGTATACGCCCATAAGCACGGATGTATGTGGACCGAGTCTACATGCATAGCAGCCGAGCAAAACAACAAGCTGGACTGTCTCGTATACGCCCACAAGAGCGGGTGCCCCTTGACCAAACATACTTATGATGCGGCCCAACCGCAACCATTCCATAACTTCCACAACACTGACTGCCTCGAGTACATCAATCGCGTTTTAAATCTGTCCTAATTGTAAGCACTTTTTTTCTTATTTAAATAAATGTAATTATATCATATAACTTTTAAAGTGTTGCGCATAACATTTTCGACATTTTATGTCTTTGCTTTAGCACATAGAATTGAAATAGAAAAACTTTACGTTACGAAAAAAAATGCAAAATATAATTTTTCTAATCCGAGATTCGAACTCGATACAGTACTCCCTCGTTAACACGAACTCGGTTAACACAAATTATTGGATAACGCGAATCGGTTTTTCGGTCCCGAGAAAGGCTCTATACTATAAGATAGGGGTTTTTTTTATTCCCTCGGTTTATACGAATTATTTCGGTTAACACGAAACTCAAACAAATTTTAGGTAACATATTGTCGTTTTGTTGACTAACACGAACAGAAAAATGTCAATATGTACATATTATTATGTATCTATTTTCATTTTATTACTCGTATAGTCGTTAGTCATTTAATCTTTAACACAGTTTCATCGATATCTTATCTTATCCCTACTATGTTTGTACATATTCTCTATTGTAGGTACATATGTATACATGACTTTGTTGGTGATTTATTGTGTATACATAGGCACATAGCTGAAGTATTGACCAAAGTGAGTTTAAAACCCCGAAATCTCAGATCAAGAAATTGAACCTACTGAACCTCCAGTGGATAAACCCTCTCGGGCTGATGTGTTGGCAGCCTTTGATACCCTCTTCAAATTTTCCCAAACCAGTGCAGAGTTTGATGAGCAGTTGAACAGCATCAGAAAATAGTGCCTAGAAAACTATGAAGTTACATTCACCCAGAAATCTATCACTGACTTTTTTAAACCGACGCGAGTTTTAAACTAATTTTTTTTTGAAAAAATGTATTAAAAATATTTCTTTATATGTGTAATTTAGCGTAGTAATTATTAATTAATTAATTAAAAATATTTGTTTATATGTAGTATTTATGAAAGTAATGTACATTTATATTTTGAAGATGACATAAATAAAAAAAATTATTTGAGTGTAAAATAACGTATTAGATTTAACCTTATCTGGTAACACGAACAAATTCGTGTTAAACCTATCGGTGTACACACATTTTTTAAACACGAACAGGTTTTTTTGTGGTCCCATCGTGTTCGTGTTCGAGGGAGTACTGTATACTCGCTTATCACACGATAGTTAGGTGATAGATATATGGTAGCAAGGACAACAAAGACATAAAATGTGGTACTTCATTGCAGACTCGTCTGCAATATGATTTTACATACGACCCGATGTCTCACGACGGTTATCGATTTTCGAGATTTTAATTATATCTCTAACAAAACTGACTTGTTTTTAAAGGGTCTTAAGGGCTCATGTGATTTTTTTTCTTTATATTATTAAATAAAGAAATTGAATGCCAAGAAATATTAGAAAAACTGAATTTTATAGCAAATACTAATTTTTAAACTCTAAATAACATTATAAAATCTTTAAATTTATAATGTTTGAAATTGAATTTAGTTTTGATGTTATGAAAACGTCAATGTTACGAAGTTGCTATCTGGGAGGTACGCTGCGCCAGTAGGTACCTATGTATATCTAAATAAATTATTTTGTCATAGTGCTCCGTCTGAGTACGTCTTTCAAGTGCTTTAGACTTAAGTTCCGAGCTCTAAATATAATAAAATATCAAAAAGTTGTCGAAAAAATCAGATATACACCTTAAAGGTCCTTTACTATTAAAGAAGACGATTAAAATTATTTTTAAATAATAAATAAAAAGATGGCACATTTTTCTTATTGTAAACTGACAATGGTTTCAATACTTTTGAATGTTAATGAACTTTAGAAAACGCACGGATTCATACTATTTGGCAAATTGGTGATTTGAAGTATAGTTCGGCACGTTTTAATTTTTATAAATCGTTAGTATACTACCAATAGACTACGAAATTAAATTGTATCTTTATCTTAAAATGTCTGTATACTTATTTCATTATGATATATAACTAATAACAATGAAAACTGGTATTACAAGAACAAAACATACACATTGAAAAAAGTGTATTTTTCAGACAACGATAGGCACTCAGCACTGTGTTTACAGTAATTAAATAGCATTATAACACACTTGTAATTTATAATTCTTATAGTCAGAAAACATTCAGTCAAATTTATTGTATCGAATATTTTGAATTGCCTTGAATAAATATGCTATATTGTAAACCATCCGTCTGCCTTGTAATATATAGTATCTATAAAAATATTTATTATTATATTATACGAGTGACATACGAGAATCTATTATTTCATGTGTGGATTAGTGTTAAAATTGTGAGTGTTCGTATAGTAAACAGATTTTGGATATTTTGGATGGTTACGGTCCTAAATTACTTTACTTATTTTCTCAAAATTAACTTATACTTTAAAGTGCTAATAAGAAAGACAAATAAATTTAAAAGTTTTCCCCTACACAACATAAAAAGAGTTATTTATTTATTAAAAATCTAATTCAAATTAGTATTCAAAATTAAAATTGAACTACTAGAAGCAAGGCTGGACTTTAACTAGTTAATAAGTTAAAAGTTAAGTTATTTTTAACTTATTTGCTTAACTTACTAGTTCGCTGTTTTAATTAACTTAACTTTAACTTAACTCATTTGTATCTCGTACGTTAACTCAAAATCAACTTATACTATTTTTAACATTCATAGTTAAGTTAATTTTGAATTTTTATATTTTCCGAATATTATTTATATAAGTAATAAGTTCGTAGAATATAGAAAATATTATTAGGAAAAAAAATGTATTTAAGAATATGGTACATATTTTTATAAATAAAAAATTATGTCGTATTCATTAGGTACTAAATTTAATAACAAAATAGGCGTAACAATGTAATATAATACGTATTTATTTAGTCACCCGTATATAGACATCTACAAATACGAGATCACGATAGGGACATTTATGATTTTATAGGTTTCGGTTCTCAAAATCCCAAAATTTCGGTTTTGGTTTTTAAAAATATCAAATTTCGGTTTCGGTTTCGATTTCGGTTAGTACCGGTTTTAAACCCTTATTATTTGACTTTTTTAGATTCTGAGTGAAACGATGAATGTGTCGATTTTACAATGATGTGTGTTTTTTTATTTTTGTGTCTGTCATCACCTTTTAGGACAGTAAAAGTGCTTGGATTTTAACAGTGTCTTTTCTGATAGGAAAGTAAATCAAGTCGGTACTTTGGGTGGGGGGGTCAGAAGTATAAATTTTCCAGTAGTTTTCAAAAGCGAAAAGGGTTGAAAAACAAAAAAAAAAATTAAGGAAAAACGGGAATTTCTACACAAAATCTGATTACGAAAAAATCAAAAGAACTCTTAAACAAAATATGACCTTAGAATTTAGATACATGAAATTTTGATTGAATGCTTATATTAGTATTTTTTATAGGTACACGATAATATTTTCAAAATATTATGATTTTTTTTTAACTAATTAGGAAAATTTTCATTTTCCATTTTTTTTTGACAAAATATGGAAAAATCATGAAAATTATCAAATTATTTTAAGTTAAGAATTCGTAAAAATTTTTCTTTTTAAATCTAAGATTTTAAAATGTAATATAAGATTTCTTATAAGATTATCTACCCTTATAAAAAAAAAAACGTGTTTAAAAAAATCAAATTAAATTTGTATGAGTGTTTGAAATTCAAATTTTTACAACATCTCGATTTTTCATGTGGCGATTTCCTTATTTCGTTGTAATTCAAAAATGAATTACTATAGATACATGAAAATTTCACTGAATGTTTATTTTAGCATTTCCTATACACCATAGAATTTTGAAAATATTTTGACTCTTTTTGATCTGTTTACGGACATTTTCAGTTTTCAATTTTTTTTTTTTTGTTTTTTTTCTATAAATATCAATAAAGATTTATCTGTTGCGCCAAAAAGTGTAAAAATTTAATACAAGGCTCCTGATATATTGTTACAATAGCAATTGAAAAATATTAAAAATACATAGTCACAATTTTTTTTATAAGCATTTAAAGATCGAATTTTGACAACATTTATCAAATTTAAAATTGAATAATTATTTTGTAGTTAATAATTTATAAAATGTTCAACTTTTATAGCTAAGGATTGAAAATTTAAAACAATATTCCACGTAAGTAGTTTATTCTGTTACCAAAAAATCTAAAAAATACATAGACACAATTGATTTTTATAGTCATTTTAAGTTCAAATTTGGACGAAATTACATAATAAAAAACCCGGAATAACTATTTTAGTTATTTTGTTGTGATTTTATAATATTATTCGTGGGTACTTGAAACTTCTAAAGTACACTATTATATAACTATGATAGTATAGGGTTTTTTGTTGATGTATAACGCTTTATAAGTACCTAATGGATATTGTGATATGATTAATTTGGAATTTATCATGGGTACCTATTACAAAGTCAATTTTTTAAAATAAAATAGATAAGTATATAGTACCTATGTCATATACCTAGACTGACTACCGTCTCCCCTCAGA